TTTACCAGTGCCACTGCATTTGCAATGGTACAGGCTGGACGTGATGGTGGCTATTTCAACAGGCCTCCAGAGACGTTCCGCCGTGGCTGAAAAAATCGACGGAGCAGCGTTAACTCAAAATCCAAACCGAGTCACCGTAAGCAATAAACATAGGATGCCACTGAAGGTCAAAGTGCTGATCGGCCTGTAAAGGGTTCCCATTTTGGACAACGTTAGTGGGTACCTTCAATTTTCAATGTCAGTCTGGTGCTTTGTCAGTCACTCGTGCCGTCTAGCTGGTAATCCTCGGAATTCTTCAGCACGTGAAGGAAAGCACTTACGGGATGATAGTGAACATCATTTAGTTCGCATACCAAGACTGGTGTATGTATGACGGCAATGACCTAATGTGTTGGAATATTGGTAGCTCGAGTGTATTGGTTGGTAATTGATCACGGCCGAACTGGCAGTCGCACGACTGAGCGGTCTGCAACACTGATATGGTTGACTCGAATAACCATAGACAACAAGAGTAACCGCCGTTCTAATTATAATACCAAGACTGGTGTATGTATGACGGCAAGAGTAACCGCCGTTCTAATTATGGAGCCAAGAGAACCCAGGTCCCCTGCGCCACCTACCTAACAAACTAGCTATGCCAGAAATCTTACCGCACTAATGATAAGAACTTTAAAATTACAATGATAAAAAAGAACGAATGCAAATAAATCAGAGCTGAAAGAAAGGAATGACGTGCAAATGTAGTATGTCTCATGGAAACTTACGAGGAAGTCATCCGATAACGCAAGTGAACTAAGCTCAGCGCAACGAATTGCATTCAAACATTACCTTCCCTCCCAGCAGTATGACTGTTGAAGTCTTCTGTCAACCACTGTACACAACATTCCGAAAACTTGAACTTAAATGAAATTTCTACATCGAACGAGATGTATTTTGATCAAGGATACCTCTGACAGGTGAATCGTTATCAGAGATAGCTCTAATTCCGTTGACTGAATGGGGAACGGTAGTCCTCGCTTCATCGAAAACCACGGAAACTGAGGCAGTACGCAGTGCTAACCGGATGGTGACCTCGAGCAATGATAGCGTCAGTTGCCAATCACTAAATGGACTCGTCTCTTGACTTGACAGATATGACGGCTGCTTCAACACACAATGACTGCGGTACCACTGCCAATGAGTGGAAAAATCCCTAAAACATGCATGGAACCGTCAAAGGAGCTGTACAACTTTGACAGTTTGCGGTATGTCACTTGCCTGATATCGTATCTACAATGATGCTCCTTTAGCAACGCGTTCACCTAAGTCTTTAAAAAAAACAGACCTGCCAATCAGACAGCAATAAGCCCTGGGACGCTATTCGACGGTCGTTCTAAGGGACTGATATATGAAAGCAGTGTAACTCCTACATCACAGATGTAATACCTATAGATAGTTTTGGATAAGCGCATACACACTTTTGGGGCTGAGGTGCCTATTTTGGGGGAACTGATCAAGGCCTTTGCTTTGTGACAACCGAATGGTTCTCGAAGTAGACATATACCTTTACACACATCCTGCTATGTATTTCCTCCAGTTCGTACCTTATTCGATGCCGTCTGGAATACGCAAAAGGCAGACATGGTGACCTAGATGTCGAATTATTGACGAGGTTTCCTTAAGTGAAACAGACACCTTTAGACTCTTCCCGTGGTCTATAAATCAATCCGCTACAACTTCACGCTCAGTGCTTCACTTTCCGATGTCCACCCATCATCCCAAGGTTTAACATCACGTAAAAACAATTCCTTGGTAAGTCAATGATCGACTGTCAAACTCTTGTAGACCAACGTAATTCAACGGTATGATTAATTTCGCCTAATAATCGCGTATGCCGATAAGATACACAGCCGGCCTTCGGAAGCGGTCCAAATGATCGACATCCCGTTTTCTTATAGAGAGCCTATTTGATAACTGGTCCGAAAGTATTTAACCAGAATTCACCCACAATAACCACATTTGGATAGACTAAATTGGTGCGGAAAAGCAAGTTCGGAGGCAAAACGATTCGCCTAGGCATGATTCAGGGATGCACGAACTTACATGCACTTGATACACTTTCACGAAAGTGAAGAGTTTCATGGCTTTAGTAATTTCTTGTTGGTTGGGCTTCTGTGTTGCAATGATCCTGCGAGCTATAGTGCCTGGAGCTCAATTCCTAAAGGTTCAACCATGCCGGAAAAGCCCCAACAGGTAGCAGTTCTGAGACCAAGAAGGACTAGTTTTATCAAAAACTATCACGACTGCTTCGGTCGGCAAGAGGGACGGATATAGTAATCCTGGCGGGTGCTATGAATGCTAATGAATGAAGTTGGACGACTAAGTCCGGAAGAAGCTCAGTTGGGTGTTAGAGTTGGGGTCGATGCTGAGCGTACCGATGATGGGGAGCGCCTTCTTCAGTTGTGTGCAGATCATCGTCTGTTCCTGACCAGATCAGCAAATCTTATTGCTGCCAGAAAGGCCAGACCAGCAACTATCGACTATGGTGGCGCACGCAGATCCCCCAAACCCCGGATAATCAGGAGTTTGAAGAATGACTTAGAACGGTGGCGGATCTCGAAGGCCTTCGCTGAAGGCAACATATGCGCCCTATTCTAACTGATCCGATCAACGGGTCAAAAGAAGACAGGTGTAAGTGGAACAATATGCGAAGAAGACAGAACACTCAATCGCTGTCTTGAACGGTGGGCTGAGTACTTCAAAGAACAGTTCACCTGGTATCCTTCAACAAAACGGCTGGAAGGATCAAGTGGGCCTGAGTGGAACGTTGATACCAACCCACCATGAGCCACTGAAATCCAGCGTGAGATTTCAATCCTGAAGCGCGACAAGCCACGTGACGCGGATGCTCTACAACCCGCACTCTTCAAAGGATGTGGGGAGAGCCTGGTGGACAGTCTGACGACCATACTTCAGAATATTTGGAACGAAAACAGAATACCAGCCGAACGGAGCTCCTCGACCGTCATCCCAGTTTTCAAAAAGGGTGCAAGAATGCCATGTGAAAACCATCGTGGTATCAGCCAGTTGTCTGTCGCATCTGAGGTGCTCTCTGCTACTATTTTTCGCTGGTTGATGAATTATCGAGAGAGAAAGATTCGTGAGAATCAAGCTGGGTTTCGCCTTGGTCGAGGATGCATCGACCATTTCTTTACCTTGAGAGGAATTCTTGAACAGCGTCACTCCTCGAGAAGTTCCACGTTGGTCGCTTTTCTGGATTTGAAAGCTGCTTTTGATTCTACCGATCATCAGCAACTTTAGCAGTCTCTGGCGTTCAAAGGTGTCCCTTCCAAATTTCTCTCTTATGAGGGCGCTGTATGCGAACTCCTGTGGCCGCGTACGAGTATACGGGAAGCTTTCGCCTGAGCTCACCACGTCCAGTGGTGTAAGACAAGGCTGTTCTTTTTTCCCGTTCCTCTTTACCTTTGCTTTTGATATGCTGCCTGAAATTTCTCCGCCTGCCTCTAAAACCTCGGGAGTCGAAATGCTCCCAAGACGTTGCCTCACAGACATTGAGTATGCAGACAATATTGCTCGCCTTGTTCAGATCCTTCCCAAATGCAAACGATTTTAAATAACCTGAATGACTCTGCCGCACGGTTTGGCATGCGCTTCACACCTGCAGTGTAAAATACTGCTACAAGACTGCGTGGGATAAAACCCAGACCCCATGCTTGCAGGTGAGCCAATCGACGTAGTAGATAAATTTCTTCACCTGAGCGGTTGTATAAGCCCTGCCCTGGAAAGACCAGGGCAGATTTTGCCAACCTACGACACCTATGGCGCCGACGTGATGTGAACTTGTCAGCCGAGGTAAGCGTTTACACAGTGGCGGTGCGATCGATACTGCTTTACGGATCCGAGACGTGGCCCCTACGCGCAGAGGATATATGGAAGATTTCAGTGTTTGACTATCGATGTCTGCGAAGCATTGGTCGGGTCTGGTGGGAACGTCACATTAGTAATGCTGAGGTACGCCAGATGGTCTTAGGAACAAGAAACTCTCCCGCGGTGGATGAATTACTCACGCTTCACAGGTTGCGCTGGCTGGGACATGTACTCCGCACGCCGGAAGACCGTCTGCCTCACAGAGCTCTTTTCTCCCAGCCCTGTGCTGAGTGGAAGTGACCGAGAGGTGCACAGTGTATAACCTGGCAACAAGGTACGAGTGGGCAACTACCGCCTCCCCGGATGGGGACCCAAACCACCAGTGGATAATGCCATTGGCAGAAATGACCCAATCGCGCAGTCAGTGGCGCCCGTGCATCGAAACTATCGCCTTCAATGCGTAGCTACCCGATTTCCAAACAAACTGAACATGCCTTCGCCTCCAAGGCTTGGTTGGGTGTTTCACTCTCCCGTTTTCCGGTGATCGAAACTGTAGCATCTGGAACCAATGTTCCTATGGTACACGGCTTATAGGTGATGAATTGAATTGGGTTTCATAGGGCATCGGATTAAGCATTCGTATCTAACCAGCTAGTTGTGCTATCGAAAATTAAAAACTAATTCTGCACACTTCATAAACATGGACATGGGGAACTAACAGGCCTTATTATGAATCGCTATAGACTTAAAAGTATAGGCAAAATTACGGGTGTAGATGACTTGGGTCGGAAACACCAGTGAAGAACTATGACCAAATCAAGGTAGATATAATAATTTTAGCCGTGCAAAATAATATCCTTTCAGTGCCGAGCTGCCATACCACCCGAAGGACGTTCGAGTGCTCAAATCTAGACAGGAGCAGTCAAGATGCCAGGACCGGGTTCGAATCTGGGACCTTTTGGCCCAGCAATTTCGCTCCTTAACCACTGAGCTACCTCGAACTCACGGCAAGACAGATGGGTGGACCCTTAACAATATTCTCGAAGCAGTACAACGTACAGTAAATTACTCTACTTAAATAAAATACACGAAAATCAGCGCAAAAGCAACAGCAGCGACTAAGCCACCAATAAATCCAACCCACTGAACAGCAAACACGAAGGGCATGAACCAACGAAGCCAAAACTATGGCATCGATAAGCAAAGAAAAGCAAGAGAATATTTTTAATGATCTGAATTGGAAGGCTGTGGCGGTTGTGATTGTGGCAATGAAAGGGTTGCTAAATTGATGCCGAAGAAAATGTGACGCATCAAGTGTAAGAACCGGGACGAACGATAGGGAAATTCAAAAAGGCAACACAGAATGAGGGACAACTGGATGAGTTGCGACACGCTGTTTCTCGTGGAACGGCTTAGTGTCTATTTGACGGCGGATGGGAAGAAGTTAGCAGGGAAATTTAGAAACAGACGTAGAAATATACCTAGTGAGGAGGAAATGGAGGGTTTAATCCACACTTTTAGGACAAAAGAGAACGCTTGGAGGATAAAGAATTCCATAGAATGCACAAAAGCGATGGAACCTGACAGCAAACAGGTACATGTGAATGAACACGGCACTTATATGTTATTAACCAGAGGGTGTTCAGGGATTGTAGGCATACGAAGGCGCGGCGCCAGAGATTTTCCGAGAAAAAGATGCCGGATTATCTTGAGCTGCCATTGTAGTGTACATCGATTTGAGCGCAGGTTCCGTCTCAATTGTCCGCAGAAGATCTAAGTAGCTTCTGTTCTTGTCTGTTGATCGAGAAAATGACAAAAGCGATTGGAAAGGGAAGCAAAGTTTGGTACACGATATGTCTACTAGTGCAAACGAGGCATCGGGTCAGGTTGAGTTTGGCTGGGATATACTATCATAGATATATCCATCCAATAGGTTAAACGATAGGCGAAACAGACTTTGTTACGGCACTCCTGATTTGAACTCCGCCTATCGAGTCCCCGTCACAGATATATATCACGATGACAAAAAATGTCATTATCAGGAAGTCCGAAACACACCCTCAGAAATTATACAACCAAAAATGCAAAAAAAACCAATAAACTTACCAATATTTTCGATGGATTTGAACTGAACGATTGCAGCAACAGCGGCACGTGATAGTTCCTGCTGTTTTTCCAGTTCCTGCTTGACCCAGTCTTCTTTGGGTTTGGACAGCAGGACGGCTTTGAGCGGTACACTAAGGGCCTCCATTTCTATTGAGCACAGAAAATAAAACAGTAGAGAGCTACAAGGGGTCGACTATGTGTTGGGTAACTGAGGGGTGCAGTTTGGACTTGGCCCGTAAAAGCAAAGCCACCAGAAGACGGCTGAATCTTCTAGATTACCGTTGATAGTAAGAGTCAAATCTTACGCAAGTGCATCGACAACATTAATTCGTGCACTTCGAAGCGTTGTAATAACGTGTTTCTGCCAGGAAGCTATTGAAGCTGGTACTGAACTGTCCTAGTAACCTTCGTCTCAACATGTATTCGTGCAAAAGAATCCGTGCGAAAGAAAACATACCCTGTATAGGTCATACCCGTTTACTGAGACGAATAAGGGATTTTCTTCTGCCAGGGCATTTCCAAGCATGAGAACGGAAATGGCTGATACTTTCTTGCCCGAGTTGTCCGCATATGAACCATTCGGTCATAATGCAACATTCCAAAAGGACCCAAGTAGACAGGCTGCTTCGAACTTTAGGCATATGTGACTACTAGACTCCAGGACCGTTTTACGTAAAACAAGTAGCTTAATCAACCCGCGGACAGGAACCTCCCACTTCTGTTGAAACCACTGTTCATGTCTCACGACCTGTGTCGCTCACCAAAGCTCATTCGATCGTGTCTGATGAGCCAGTACCGATAGCTCGAGGGCGTTATTAATCCATTGTTCGTCGGCACTGGTTCGACGCAACAAGACAAAACCACCGCACATATAATTGTCTTATTCATTAACTGATCGTTACTGGGTGAAGCGAACCGCGGCAATTCACCGATGATAACAAGACTGAGGAAGGGACAGGCACACGTGTGAAACGATGTCCTAGCCACTTCAAGAATAATGAAGTGCTTCCTCAACAGGCAGCTATGCATTTACGATGAGTTTCGATGCCGCAACACAATTGGCTGCGTCATCGGACAAAGTCTGTCGATGTCACTGTGCTTTGCGCCAGAGACCCCAAACGGGAGGAATTTCAAAAATATCAGCCCTTTTGAAGGTCATACCCACAAGAAATGCGAGATATACTTAATATCAGTGTGAAAACGAGGTTATTAACTCAAACGAAGGTCACCTGCAGCCGACTTTTGTACTTGCTTTTGGTCAACCAGATAGAAACAACATTCGGGACATAAAAACTACCGTTCTTACAAGCTACAGTAACAGCTACTCAAATGCACGAAGCAACATCGAACAGTCGCAAATATTGTTTCAATACCCTCAAAATCAGCAATTCCAAATGACCAGTGGAGACAGGCAACCGACAAATATCGAGGAACCTAACCTGCCTCGTTTCAACGCTTAATTTTAGGAGTCAGTTTCAACTTGATTGCAGCTGATGCTCGCTACCATTGACCAGAAAATTAAATCGGGCTGACAAATGCTGCGTCCCCAAATGGAGACCCCAGATTCAACTCACCAATGGTTAATAACACTGATAGACATGGTTCAATCACGCATTCAGTGGCTCAGTGGTTACGGCCCGAATCTACTGACAGGAAGGTACGTAGTTCGAACCCGACCTCTGCATCTCGACTTCCCCTGTCCAGGCTTAGGCAACCTGAGAGTATCCCAGCCATCGTCCTTCCACCGGGTGGGATGACAGTTAAGCATCGAAAGGGTGTCACAGCTGAACGACTACCTTTAATATCTATCTAAAATATCGTCTTCAGTGCGCATAGCTGCCCAGTTTCCCGTTGCCTCAGAGCAATATACAATGCAAACTAATTGATCAGGTGATCGGCTCCAATGCCTGGACATGTCCCCCACGCCCTCCCATTTTCCGGCAACTGAAGCTACATCAGCTTGAACCAACACATTTTTCGTACATAGTTTATAGCTGACAAACTGAACTGAGAGCCAAAATTACGATTTTTGGAGCTGAGTGGCCCGTCATTACTACGGTTACCCTACTTGTCGATACCATGTAACAAAGATCTGCCACCTGAAATTCACACACCTTCAAGATAAGACAACTGAAAAAGTACTTTGGCTTCATTATTTTCCAAAGATACAGCAACGCATTCACTGGGTATCATTAAAAGCGCTAGGTGGATTGAACAGTGTCCTGTGACGTCTTCCTGATTAAACTGAAGGATCTGCATTTACCTATGGGGTGGAACACCTGAGAGTTGAGGCCACTACAGCTGAATTATCAGCAACGGAATAATTTGCAATTGAGTGGTTCAGTGCAACAACATTTCAAACTGTTTTGCATTAGAATGAGCAACACTCAACCTCCACCTTCCGAGGTAAATCTCCGGGTTAGTTGCAATACTTCTCTGTATGGCAAGTTGCTTCCATCATTAGCAGAAAGAAAGGTTAAAGTGAAGCTAAGAATTAATGTTCAGTGATGAGGTCTTGTGAGGGAGCGAATTGGGGGACCAGTGCACTGACGGAATTTCAGAGCCAGGAGAGGACTGCTGCTGCAAAACCTACTTGCGGCGATTTCCAGTGGCCGTACACATGCCACGTGCTGAAGTATTTGGTAGGAAAGAAGCTGAATGTCTGTGTGATCCTTCAATCCCTTGATCAGTGGATCCAAGAATTCGGACATGACTAACTTGTCCAAACAGTTTTCGAGCAGTGTGAACATGCACTCGAATGCACACTAGAGAGAACGGAAGAGAGAATAAAAAATTGCGTGCATGCATTATTAGCGTTTGCAAAAAATGATGCGAGAAATTAATAGTACAGACGGACCGTTGACAGCAATGTTTGCACGCACAGCAGAGAGTACTTGCAAATACATAAGTCGACGAGAAATGTACACAGAACGTCAATCACCGGTGAGCACGCCGAGGTGGGTTGTACGTTCGTAATTTTGAATCGGCATCACTCAGACTCATTAATGAAGTTCTAATCGATTTTATGCCAGACGATCTAAGCTCACAAATATGGCCCTCGAGAAATACCTGAATCTGCTTAGCCTTTACTTCAATCGATATTTCCAAATCCGACTGCTTCATTCTTTTCATTTTGAGTTATACCGTAAGAAGGAAACAAAATAGTCTCGTAAACATTGAAACAGAATCAAACGCATGACCCGGAGTAAAAACTCCACATATCACTTAGGAGCCATGGAAAGCGCCCCCGATGAGGTCGGTCCATGGGTGTTGATTGCCTTATTAAATACTAGCACAAAGGTTGCTATGTCTAAGTCTAAGCATTTACTTTGCCGTTGATCATCACCCGAATAGCGTGATTGCAGGACCACTGTCTTAGACCAACAGGAGCGGGGCTTGTGTGTCGTAGTTCGAAGGATCAAGGAATACAGCTGTCATACGTGACAATGCTGATGGCTGAAATTTGTATTATTATTATTATCATTGTTATTATATGATGGGGAACGGAAAAGTGCAGTTAGGCAGAACAAACTGAAGGGACTCAACAAGCTGGATTGGAGGGACTGATTAAGTTATACACCGAAACCACTGTAACTAAAAATGCGTCGTCTAGTTTGATGAGATAGAAGTTAAAATAAAGTATGGGATCAGGCATCAGTTCAAAACACCGTCTTCATGTGCCTACAGGCGCTCACGGTCCATATGCATTCTTAAAGAACATCGTACTTAATAATCAAGGGTATAGTTTGCCGCCAAAACTGTTGCGTTGATTTTATGATCGTCGCAACAGAACATTACGATTTATCGCTACATCTTCAGTTCTGCCTGCACGCTGGCGGACAGTGTCTGTGTAAAGGTCGAATATATATTCGACCTTTACACAGACAAACCTCACAGAACCGAACCAGTTCCGATGTACTTGCGGGACCGAATAAACTGTCCTATCCCGATTTTGCTCGCTCCTAAGAGGGATGCGGATAATGTGTTATTGTTTGGTATGATGCAGGTTGGAAGCGTTTTTATTTGGTGAATGCACTGGAAGCGATATATATTCGGACGTCTGACTGTTCGCGCTGCCACTAACCTTTAGTCGGAAAATTGTTTTTACTATCACTTGTTCTATAGAATACAATGTCAGTTCCCCACTCGGTGAAAAACACTGAGTGGCAAAACGGAGCCATTCGGAATAACAGTTGGGAAGCTGTTCGCATAAACGGATCGATTTTATTGCTGGTATTGGTGGCGTCGTACTCAAAAAGATCAAAGTGCACACATTAACCAAAGAAACGAGGAAGCAGTGCATAGATTTGCAAACTGAAACTAAGAGCAGGAAAGTGACTCAAATGATTGGAAGAGCTGGTTGACGCAACTGAACCAAATATAGCGATTGTGCGACAAATAGTACTAATAAGGTCTGACCTGGGATGAATTGATTTGGGGTTTTGAAAAAAAGGAAGTTCCCTTGTATATTCACATCACTCGTTTGAGCAGTCCCTCTGCTGTCCCGATGCAGCTATTCTTATGAGTCCGCAACAAGAAAGGGAAGCACTGAGCTCGAGTTCCGCCATTTTTAGAGCCCTTTGAACCCCGGGAATCTGACACACAAGGAGAACGTGTTACCACTACTCCACCAGCGCACGTTGGGCACACCCAAATTATGACTAGATAGTTAACGCATTTATTCCGTTACAGAGTGCTTAAAGACTATCCAGGTGTTATTTTATCTCCGCAATACGATAGTCAAACAAGATGATAGGTAGACAGGGAAAAAAGTGACCAACTGTTTCGTGAAAACTTGAGAGACCGACTAAGTCACTCGTACGGAGACCTTCCTACGCATTTTTCCTAGAGCACTGCAATCTAATAGTGTATTTCAACAATACAAGACTAGTTACATCGTTGTTTGCCTCGAGGAAATCGGTTGGAATTTCTGATGCCCAGTGAGCATTGAACGGGTGCCAGTGAGAAGTGAAACTAATTCTGAGAGCATAAACACTTACAAATTCAGGTGTTACATCAGCCTTGCAAGTAGCATCGTATGAAGGAAAAATCAACACACAGTGTGGAAGTGCTCGTAAGGAAAGGACTGAACTACCCCATGACAATACCACCTTGATGCTGTCACCTCAGATGACAGTGAATAAACTAGAATCGAGAGAGAATCTAAACATTTGAGGCAATGTATTTACTGATGAGGAACAACACGCGCGAAAATTCTAACCTTTCGAAGATCCAGGCCATCATCCTCCTTCCGCTTAAACGGACCCATTTCAACTTCACGGATCAGTTCCGGACGAACAACTGTTTCTCCGTACAGAAGCTTCAACAGCGTAGTCACATGACCAGAGAGATCCAGTGGCATGTTTAGGAGGGGACGAACAAGACCAGGACGGTGATGTGCAGCGGTGTTGAGTGCAATGAGAGAAGCACGTCGAACAAGTATATCCGGGTCAGCTAAGCGGCTGAGAAAATCGAGCAAAGGAGGTGGTTGTTCCGACCGCAAGATGGAGTCAACTTCAACCAGCACGGCGGTTCGGGTAGTTTTCTCAGGGTCGTCGAACTCGTGTTGTTGCAGTGGTGATGATGCCACGGTTGAAAGCAAGAGACCAGAGGGAAGCAGACCAATAGTAGTCCAATCGAAACTGTCCAAGCGGCTTTGTCCTGACAGCATAGGATGATGGGAATTCGTGTCCAAGTCGGTAGCAATTAGGATCGACCTGATTGCGGTTACAAGGGTGCATCGGACTAAAGGACAACTAGCCTCAGCAGAGGCGAGCTGAAGGAAACAAACGACAATTGGGGAATGGTACTTATATTCAAGTGAAAGTAGTACCTGTGAAGAAAGGTCAATCACACAGAAATTCACATCGGACCGTAACTTAGCTGTGTAGTCTTTTGGACTCAAAAATTGTTATTCGACAGATGATAACAACAAATTGGTGAAGAAGGAAACCACTCACAGAGCTGTTGGAAACTCACTGACAACCGACGACCGGTCTTGTCCTCTCACATCGGGATCATCGAGTTTCCACCAGCCTTATGTTCTACTCGAATCCAAACTGTACCAATTTGGTTAAACCGGTGTGACGGTGATACTACTGATCGGGACGCACGCGAGTAGTATGTGTTGTTCGTAGAATTTCGCTTTGCGTCGACTGAAAAAGGGAATTCTGTTGCGGAATTCGTGGGACCATTTTGTAACATTTGCTTGGATTTGACCGACGAATGAGTGGAGGCAACGAATCTCTAAGAGGACTCGTTCGGGAGAAGATCTGTGTCCGGTTGTTGTAACTAAGATGCAGATTAGGGTTTTGCTTCCCCGTTCAATGGTCTGTAACCGGTCAGTTGGCATTTCCGAATAAATAACTCCGCAGCGAAGGCCTTCTTCCTTTCATTTGGTGCCGTGACCAGGATAAGGATGAAGATCCCATGGCCGCAACCCTTTGAGGATGGAGATGTTCGGACCTTCCTGGAGGACTTTGAGGAA